GCTCTCGCAGCATCGCAACTTTCCCAAAAAAGTTGGAAACCCAAAACACGTCTTAGAAGCACTCTATTACATTTTGACAGCGCAGAATTGATTAGGCAGCAAAATATTGTTGAGCTTTACATTTCTCATCATACCCACCCCAATCCGCACGACTGCAGGCCAAGACGCAGCAACTCGGACACAATACCTTGCCACAGGAGCATCAGGCAAGGGTAGCCCTGGAACACATTCGGACGTCTATGGCAAGGGTCGCCTGAAGATAACATACTGCTGGGATCCTGCTGTCCAAGGCTTCGTCAAAAGAAATCTGACACGGCAAGCTATTCAACTCGACTCTGACCATCTCCACTGTTCACCTCCCCACTTGAGCAGTTCCCCATGGTGGGCATGTTAAGCGATCAGCAATTACCTGCCATGGAAAACCCAGTGCCAACCAATAACTAGTAAGCTATGCAGCTGACTTTGTTCAATCATAGTCACACAGGTGACCGAAGTGACTTTCAAGACAAACAAGTACTTGCAGCCATACAAAGCAGATAACTAAACCGAAGCCAATGCTACCAACCTGACTCACCATGGTAAAAAAAAATAGAAGGTCGACCGGCAGCGGCCATGGGCCCAAAAGGGTTGTGCCAGATTCCAAAAACAAATCACTTGCATCCTCAGGAACCTTTTTTATCATACCAACTTACCAACATTAAGGATCATTGAGGTGTGCCAAACGCTGCTTGTAGCATTGCTTGCTTGTTCCTGGGGCCCTTGAGATTGCTGCCCACCAGAACTTAGTACTGAAATTTGGTTCCGTGATTGGCGAATGATGGCGGAGAGAAGTCAAGAATGGTCCGAAAATGAATTGCTGAAAATGGATTGCATAAGAGTGGACCGCAGAGAATGCACTGCTGCAAGTGCACAGTTTGAAAATGGACTCCAGACATTGAACTGCACAAGAATGGAAGGCAGAAGATGGACTGCAAAAATGGACAGTGGACCGAAGAAGTGGACAGAAGACAGGCGCATGTGTGAAAGAGAAACTGGCAGAAGGTGGAACACGACAGCATGCTCAGGAGTGCATGTTTTCAATCATGGGCTCCTTTTCGCCATAAGTAGCAAGACATCCATGTGGCATGACTCCTTGAGGCTCCAGTGTCTTCTCCCTTGTGAGACTGATCTCAGGTTGCTGGGGGTTGATGCAAATGTCTCGTCGCTTGCAAATTTCTGAAAAAACGATTATCATGCTGCAAGGGGTACTTGTAGCAGGGTGTACATAAGGCTTCAGGTGACCCCTTTACGCGGTTCAGGGGAGAGAAGTTCCTGGGCTTCTGCCAGGGCCTGAAGCGGTGGCATGCCATCAGGGCGGGAGCCGAGGGCATCCCGGTAACCCCAACGTCCCCTTGCCAGGGAATTGCACTCTACAGCAAGCCGGCATGCACCACAAAGGGCGCAAGCAGCATGGGCCACAGCAACAGGGAGACGCAGGCGCAGCTTGACAAGCACACGAGAGAGGTCTGGGGCTATGTCCAGCCCTTGTGCCTCGCAGGGCACGGCGTGAAGCCACGCGCCAGCGCGCGCGTTTGTCGCTGGAGTTGCAAGTTGGCCCTGCAGGCCTCGCGCCCAACTCTAGGCTGCTCGACCACAGCACGATCCAGCGCCTGCGACAACAGCTGTTGTCGAACAGAACGGCACTGGAACCGAGAGATGGTCGGCAGGCAGAAGGTGTTGGTTGAGAAGGGGTGGCTGTGGCAGCGAGGGGCCATGCACTGGTGTAGCAGGGGGCAAGACCCTGGCAGCAATGCAGCACTGCACTGAGAGACGCAAGCTAAGCAGCAGCAGCAGCAGCAGCAGCAGCATGAGCAGCATGCGGCGCAGCGTGCCGCAGCCTTCAGCAGTGAGAGGCCCTGCGCATAGACACTCAGGCAGGCTCGGACTCCTGAGTCGAAGTCGAGGGCAGTCCCCATCAGCAACTCCGGGGGGGTCAGCAACTGCGGGGGGGTGACACGCAATGCAAAGACCATGCAGCTGTAGGCAGCGCAATGGCGCAGCAACAAAAGCCCCGACTGGGGATCAAGAACTCCCCGAGCGCCTGCGAGAGCAGCTTTGTTTTTTCCACACGCTTTGCATGGGCGTAAGCTTCAGTGTAGTCCTGGGGCCCAATAGGCGCGCCCAGGAGGCTCATAGCTCCATTTGCATGCCTTCCGGAAAGGCTCGCTGGTCGACGACGACGTCAGCGCCAGCACAGACAGTGAAAATACACTTGCTGGGGTTGAGCTCTAGACCGACCTGGCGTCCGGCAGCCGTAAGGCGGGCCAAAGCGGCAGCGACCTGGCGAGACCCCCCGGCCAGACAGCCATTATCAAGGAAAGCGAGGGTAATCTAAGGCTGTTGTGCTGAGACACCTGCGGCGGCTGCTTGGAGAGCTGGATGCAAGGCTAAAGCAAACAGCAAGGGGCCCAGAGGGTCACCCTGTTGGACGCCCGCCTCCGAGTACAAGGGGGAGTGGTGGAAGAGGAGCCAGGAATGATGGTCGCAGCACCATTCACACTGCAACAAAGAAACAGCAATGGCGGCTGTGAAGCTGCAATGCAATGACCGACCGGGGTGCTGGCTTCCAATCCGGTAAGCCAGAACTCGTGCGACTCAGTCCATTTGCGGTCCATTTTTGGGCGAGGTCCATGTTCGGTCTCCTTGCGGTTCATTTTTGGTCCATAGACCACAGGGGTCTCCCAAAAAATGGACCGAAAATGGACAGCGTCTACAAAAGGTCCACAAATGGACCAATGCCAGGACGGCCATCTAGGCCACCTAAGAGGTGCCAAGGCCCCCAAGCTGGTGCCGCAGGCACCATGTCCGCAGCTAGGTCTCTTGGCTTCGGCACGCACACTGAAGCAGAGGACCCTGACTTCATTTCTCATTTCTACTGCTCTCAAACATCCGGCTTTGAACAACACCTGCAAGATGTTGTTGTCTGCCATTCTACTGCTGTCTCTCTTCCAACGTCTGGTCTTGTTTTTTTGATGTCCACTCTCTGCTGTACTTCTTTCTGCGGTCCATTCTCTCTCTGCTGTCCATTCTCTGCAGTCCAAGTTCATGCCGTCCATTTCTGCATGCCTTTTTGTGCAGTGTATTTTGTGCTGTCCTTTCTCTGCGGTCCGTTCTTGTGCAATCCATTATCTGCCGTCATGGTTTGCTTCTCGCGGTCCATTTGTATGTGTAGCCGCCTAATTCTAAAGGAGCTCAAGGACAGCCTCAGCACGATGAGTTGGCCAGCTTCGTTTTTTACAATCCATAGCTTAAAAACCCTTCCAAACGCAAATCGGTAATTGCCCAGCCGCCGTCGCACAAACTTGCCCAACTCGGGGCAGGTGCTTCTGCGAGCCTCTGTCTGCTCGGAGTTTGATGGATACAGTTTGCATTCGTACCAACACTACTGCGGCTATCATTTTGCTGCTATTCTCTTGCTGTGCGGCGGGGGACTACAATACAAGCATTTGCCCAAACAACAGGCCAGGAGCCTCCACGACTGCCATTAGCCTTTCTCGCGTGAGGTAGAATACCTCGGTGTGGCGCGGAGCAAGGGAGTTTGGTATGTTCGATAATTGGAGGGATATAGGGGGACAAATTTGGTTTTTAGAGCCCTACAAGTTTCTGTGGCTTCGAAGCAATGGTTTCAAGCCAGTTTTTCTATTCATCTACTTGGGCATAGGACTTTCTTACAACCAGCGCACCCACCTTTGGCAACCTGGAACTTTCTTATAGCCAGCAACCTCACCTTGGCAAAGCTTGGGCTGCTGCTAGAAACGTGCTCTTCAAATCCAAGCTGCTTCACAATAAGAGAGCGCCATGCAGTTCACGTGGTGGATCAGAGACGAATCCGCAAGAACGAAATCCTCGCCCCATACCTTAGCTATTTCAGCCCCCACTTGGTCACAAATGCTAAAACATTCATCAAGACAGAAACTTAAGCAAAACTTACAGGTCCATTCGCACCGGTGTAAGGAGCCCATTGGCTGGGATCTACCAACCGAAGCTAAAGGGAGCTATCTTCTGTGCAATTGATCCTGAGGGTCGAAATAAACCCTCGCTCCACCCTTCAGGATACAGGGGCTCTGAGGGAATCAAACACTTCTTTCTAGCAGCAGAGAAACTGCACCTGTCTCTCCGACTCTGGTTCCCATCGCAGCAAGGCCTTTGGAGAGAATGTAAAGCACCTTAGCTTTAGGGTTTACATAATGTCAGCATATTGCCAGAAAAGGCAGAGACCTTCCTTTGCACACGAGCTGACGTCTCTTTTGTAGGCCTTATAGGCCGACCACATGCTGGCGTGTCAGGTCTGCCCGGGGTCTGGTGAATGCCAACTTCCTGGTTTCTGTCCTCATGCAGGATTATGTATACACGTGAAGACTGATGCGACATCAGAAGCAGTGCCGCAGCAGCACCGGCAGCAGGAGCCGAAGGAGTACCAGGGACGGCAGCACCATGAACAATCCATGAACAATCGACGAAAGGAAGCATTAAACATGATGCAGGGCAGCTTGCGCCCTGATCTCTCGCGGGAAATATAGGATCATCAGACAAGATCAGTCAGGAACGCTGCGATATCCTAGCAAAACAGTGCAGCTCACTAGCTGCACTAGCTGAAACAGCTCATCCCTGCTGGGAACTGAACGGCTGCTGCCAGCACGGCCACCACCAGCAAAGTGACCACCACCACCGCCATCAGCTCCTCCACCACCACCACCACCACCACCATCACCACCGCCACCACCACCGCCGCCGCCACCACGACGACCACCACCACCACCACCAAGAGGACCAGGATCACAACAACCATCATCACAGCCACGATCACGGACAGCCCAGAACCACCGCCAGCACCACCGCCACAAGCAACACCGCTTCAACTGCCAGATTGACATTCCTCGACCAGCACTGGCTGGACATACTCGGCATCCGTACCGAAGCCTACACCACCTCACAACGACGAAGCACTGCATCCAGGGCACTTGCACGTCGCCAAAGCTGTCGCGTTGGGCATAGGCTGCGCATTCCAACTTGCGAGAAATGTCAGCAACGCAGGCCTCAAATGTAGTCGTCGGCATGCCCTTGAACTCCATCTTCTCAATGAGGTTTATGAACTGCAGGAAGAAGGGAACTTTCCTCATCAATATGGGTGTGGCTGCAATGGTCACAGGCACTCTTCCAGACCCTGGCAGTACTCACGCTTCTGGGCTCCCTCTCCTAAGGATTCTACAGGCATCACTCCAAACAGCTATACGCTTAGCATCAATCAAGCCTCAAGACTTAGCTGCTTCCCTACACCTCGTACCCAGGCCTTGTGCACCTACAAGGTACATGGCTTCGAACAGCGTTCCAACGCAATGCTCAAAGACATCTTCTACAGGCGCACAAGGAATCTTCATGGTTCGCTGTCCCAAGTTGAGTTACATAACGTCTTCCGAATACGACCCACTACAAGCCCTAAACTGAACAACAACATCTAGATAGTCATGATAGCGCCATAAATCCTAAATCCTATGCCATCACCGTGTAGAAGGCGCATGCAGCCTGACTTTACATTGCCAATAACCACTCACCGCAGGGAAACACCTACGCTGCACCCTGTAAGCTCATTTAAGCTTCTGCCAGTTTCCTAAGGTTATATAGGGGTAAGTCGGTCTTTCACCAAGATTTGTCAAGAATTTGTTATTTTGAGAGTTCTGGTTTCGAGTGGCCGTCCTTGCAATCCAAAGGGATTTAAGTCATTTTGGTTCATGGAAACTAGTGTTGAGTGGGCTGGTCCTCAACTTTTGGCAACGGCTTCCTCGTAAGCGTGATTGGTAGCAGGTAGCTTTTAACTAGACTGGGTTATACATGCACAAGCCAATTCCCGGTGAGCGCTAACCCCAAAAACCTATAAGCCCGAAACCTGAAAACCTAAACCAAAAACCCTAGTCTACGTGACAGGAGTAGACAGAAGTCTTCAGCCACATGAAGATACGTATGCAGCCAAGATTGCAACCTCTGAAAATTTGCCGAATCCAAGAAAATTCAGAATAATCGTCATATAGCACTCATACCAGTGGTAGAATATTATTAATAACAGTAATATACAACCGTGGTAACAATGATAGTAGTATATTTAGATGCTCAAGTCTCAGCCCAGCAGCCGGATCCAATTCAGGTTCAACACTCGGCAAACTTCTGCCTGAAGATGTGGACTCATGTTGTCCAGCAACCTGCCACACAAATCTAGACGTGTTCTCCAGGGTGTTTTAGCTTGGCCTTCCTTTCACGGCACGTCCGGCCAGGCCGAAATCAAAGCTATGTTTTAGGAAGGGCCAAGCCACACGAATGGTCCTCTCAAACATAAGCACAAGATATTGCATCAGAAAATTTTCCGAAATGGGGTTTGTGTCTGATCCCACTTGGGGTATGGGAGACCTATGTCAAGCTCAAATCTGTATCAGATTCGCACAAGTGCCAAACAGCCATGAGAGGAATGGTGGTCCACCATAAACCCTTAACAATAAACCCTGCCTCCTACTAGACTGTCACAGATAAACACGCATCACAACAACCCACTGTATTCAAGACCGTTTTCAAGAGTAGCTAAAGCTTTCACTACGTCACTACGTCCTTGCGCCTAGGAAAGTTCTGATTCCTACGAATGTCCCTACGCTGCCAAAGTAGAACTAATTTTGCTGACAAAAACTTGCCAGTCCTTGCGCAGTCAGTAGCGCCTATAAACCGGCTGGATCTAATTTAACTTGCACATTTACAATAGGGCTGCCTTTTTTTCTTGGGAAAAGATGGGGGGCGAGGGGGCCATACTAATTTATTTTTTTGCGGCTGCCGGGGGCCTGGCAGCCGAGGTGATCTTGAATTGAGTATGAGTTCAATTAGAACCCTGGGCTCTGCAGATTAAGCAAACAGCCTCTTTTGGCCTCATTACTGTGTTTTGCTGGTGCTCCTCTTTCTCTGGAAAGGTACTTTCTGGCGCAAAAAGTTTGATGCTCTCAGTTGTGTTTTCTCTGGTGCAAAATTTTGTGCTCTGAGCTGTCTTCCCTGGTGCATTTTTTGTGCTTCGGCTGGTGCTCCTTTCTCAGTGAGCTTTCCTCAGCGCAGCAACCAGCCAACTGCAGACAACTCAACTTGCACAGACCTGATCCAATGAGTGCGGTTGGATCTTGTGCTTCTCCTGGTGCAAAATTTTGTGCTCTCAATTGTGCTTTTCCTGGTGCACAATTGTGTGCTCTCAACTGTGATTTTCCTGATGGAAAATGCTGTGCTCTCAATTGTGTGCTCTCAACTGTGCTTTTCCTGATGCAAAATTGTGCGCTCTCAACTGTGCTTTTTCTGGTGCTAAATTTTGTGCTCTCGATTCGAAATACACACTCTAAAGTTTAGATGTGGGATCAGGAGCCTCACAAAGCCGAGGCGGCTGAGGGGTCTCATCTCCAAGAGTTCTAAGATTTCCGCCAAGCTTCCTGCTGTGAAATTCTCAAGTCTCCATGACGGCCGCAGACTTCGGATTAGGATCCTGGATTTTTGGGATTTCTGCCAAGCTTCCTGCTGCTAAACTCTCACCTCTCCATGACGGCCGCAGGCTTTGGATCAGGATCTTGACAAGGCCGGTGCATCTCATCTCCAAGATTTCTAAGATTTCCGCCAAGCTTCCTGCTGCAAAATTCTCCCGCAAACTTCGGATCAGGATCCTGACGAGGCCCGGGCGTCCGACATCGCCTGACCTCCAAGATTTCAAGGATTTCCGCCAAGCTTCCTCGCGCTATGCTCTACAAGCTTTGCTGCGCCAAGGCTTCTGGTCTTTAGCTTTCGTGACTGCTGTCCTGCCAGCTTGCTGTGTCAATGCGGCAACCACTAACGGCCGGATTTTCTGCAAAGTCTGATCACAGTCTGCTGACTGACGGGCAAACCTGATTAGGTTTGCTGCTGCTCTTTTTTTGGGTGTGCGTTTAGTCTTATGCATCTTTTTTCGACTATTAATGTGGACGGGGCCCGTCCCAAGATATGTCGTAAATGGTGCTCGAAAATCGCAGTCACTAATTAAAGCAATCGGGAAACTGAGACATGTAGAAAAGTTAACGTTGCACCGGCTTTAGTGAGGAGACCTTGAATGCTGTGTTTGGCCGCGCTCGTTCAACTTCAGGCCATTGCTGGGAAGACCTTGTTTAACGCGTTTTGGTTTTGGGGTCTTAAAAAATAATAGGAAGAATCAAGAGCTTGTTGCTTCAGAAGTCCGTATTTGAGCTGCTGGACTCAGAAACTTTTCCTCTCGGAACTCACAAGCTCACGCTCAGAGGCTCAGAAGCCTGAAAGTGGAGCCCTAGAGTTCCTGAAAAGCCTGCAGTTCCTTGTTGGCCTGAGGCCTTCACTGACTACTATGTATTCTAGTTCTACCAGTACTACTACTTATACTACTGCTGGTACTAGGTCTGGAGAGCCATTATTGAAGATGTCTAGTTGTTGACTTTCTGGACCCCTACTGTTAAGGGGGGTTCTAGAGTTTGAAGAGAGTGCAACGTTACATGATAGAGACACTTATCAAACTCAGGTAATTCCCCGCATATTACATCCTCAGTGGATTCGTGTGCTCATCATGCTGGGCAACCCAGAACTTCCTGCTAGGCTGTAACATCCGAATTGGGAGCCTCTGAAACCGGAGGACTGACACCCTGTGCCTTCTTTAAAGCACCTTATGTTTGCATATTGGTATCATGCTGTATCGCAGCTAGAATATGCCCCAGATACTGGAGTATGGGCCCCTAAGATCCTACTGTACACCAAGCGCGGCAGGACTTCAACCCTTGTCAGATCTCAGCTATTGAGCTAATTCGAGAGCAGGACTCTGCCCAAAGCAACTAGGTTGAGATTGCATTGCTAGACCTGCCCTGTCTAGCACCATGTTCTGGCTAGGATCCTCTGAGAATGATATTGGACCCTCCTTTAGCAAGACTATCAGAAGCGCGAAAGTATCTCACCTTCAAAGGAATAGGGGATGGAGGTTGAAGACTTATGGTGCATGTGAAAGGGGGACCCTGAATCAGGATTGGGGAGGGGATTACCCCGAGTGCTGAGGAGGCATTGCTTGGTCCCTACTCAAATCCTCATCTAAGAAGACCTAATCACGCCTAGAACCACCCTCGCCCCTCACGCATCGAAGATAGGACCGCATGATCAATGGTCCGCATCATCGGAAGGAGCTTAAGTAGTGTAGCCGCAATGTCGGTCGCCCATTGGCATTCCCAAACCACCACTCCAATTTTTTGGCAAATGAAACCAATGATGATGCTGATGCTAGAGATGAGGACGAGGATGAAAATGATGAGCATGATGAGCATGATGAGCATGATGATGATGATGATGATGATGATGTACTTGTAGTAGTAGTAGTAGTAGTAGTAGCAGCAGCAGCAGCAGCAGCAGTAGAAGCAAACGAGAATGGGGCAGGGTGCAATGCCCCCATTACACCGCATTTAAAGGCCATGATACACAGCGCCGTACACCCTAAGCCACGAGCTTGCCATGGGGAATCAAAGCGAAAAAGAGACAACAAAACAAAACCATCAAAATGAACAAGAAACATGAGCATCAACACATCACGAATGGGACAGACAACAGATAGAAGTAACCAAGAAACTGGAGCTGGGTTGTGAACTGGAGTTGATGCCGATTCTGCAGGAAGAAGCTCCGCAAGCGCCGACGTAGCTCAGGCGGGAGTCCTTTCAGGGCATACCCGGAAAGTCCGTGTACATAAACAATATATAACTTCGGCCGACAGAATTTCTCAAATTTCAAATGGGACGTTTGGGGATCTACTCATATGCTAGGATACGTAGACCCTTCGGGTGACAGACTAGCCTTTGAACATCTTTGAACTGAGGGAAGAGCTCAGAGGCTAAGAGTCCAGCGCGTGAACCGCAAATAACTTCAGATAATCTTGCAGGCCTGCAAGAGATGTGAATGGCCCATCATCATTCTCACGGCACAATGAGCGCTCCCAGTATGAGCCCTCGTGTCACCTGATATCTAACCCCGATGAAGTCTGTAGAAGGAATCCTCGAGAAGGCCTTCTTTCATGTCAGCACGCTTTGAGAATCTCACACATTACCTCGACACCTGGAATATCACCAAAAAAAAAGCCGGGACACCTAGTCGAAACTGATAAAATTGACGCGCTCAAGCTCAAAAAGAGCATGCAGACTCAGAACAACTGTGGCAGAAAAATCTCAATTCGCTGGAGACCAAGTTCAGAGAATGGAGACGCTACTTGCCGAGTCTTGGGCTTTGCTTAGACTGTTAGGCAGTCTTCTGTGTTCGTGCACGTCCAACCCACGACCCATGTCCACTAAACTGGAGAAGAAACTAGAGTCAAAGCGGATCCCGCAGTTGAGTTCAAGCTGCATCTCTTTCACAACCTCCAAAACCGTGAGTGAGAGGCATCGGAATAGGAAAGTGCTGACAGGGCTTCCTTGGTCGTGCATCATCGAGTTCAGCTGGTGCATCTTCTTGCGAAAAAGCTGGCCTGAGTCAGTTTGGCGAACTAGGCCCCAGTTGAGCAGTGAAGTTATGCTTAGTGATGCCTTGTAAGAATCATTCCTTTTCATAGATTTTGGTGATCTCGAGCTTGACGAACATGCAGTCTCATTTGTTGCCAATGAAGACCACTACTCATCTATCACAGTACTGAATGGGTTTAGGAGTCGTCAAGAACATTTAAAGCTTCGTCCAGCTTTGACCTAGTGGCTGTCAGCATTCATGTCAGCCACAATTGCACAGACTTCGCCGAGGATGTAAGCCCAGCAGAGACCAGAAATTGTCACCATAAAGGTGCAGATGATCCGCTCCAAGACGTTCCTAAGCTCGTCCGTAACTTAAGCGCTTATGAGGGCTCATGAACAAACCGGGACCCCAAACAAAAAAAACTGGACTAAGAAGCAGCCTAGACTCTTGGGACCAAAGTCCCCATAGCCCACAGATGTCATGGTGTAGCTACAGAAATAGAAAGATGCAACGTAAACGCGCCAGGCAGACTCCCTCGTTCTGATACCATAGCCTACATCCACTGCTTCCACGTCATCGATCCACTGAGGGTAGTCTTTGTCGACCAGCTGCAGAGTTAACGCCCAAACGCAGGCCAGCCAATGACACATGATCCCAAGTACTGAGAGAAATCTCAGTAGTGCGAAGTGCTGGTACGGAAGGGATAAAGGAATCCTTGGGATTTGCTCAGACATGCTAAGCTGATCAAGAACACCGTTGATATCTGATTTTCTGTCTGGCAGCAGCAAAAGTAAAATGTCCTGATAGTCGATGCTGGCTGTTGCTACCCTGGTTTCTGCTCCAACTGTATAATACTACTTCCTTACGTCAATATAACCATCATCGCATCAACCGGTGCAGAAGATTTTCGTTGGACAGCAAAAGTGTTTGGGACTTGGATAGCTCATTGCTTGAAGGAGACGACCCATCCAGTACATCTTTCGCTGCCTCCCTCTATTTCCACTGTGCAGCGCTGTTTCCGGCCTTCTCTAATCCTGCTGCGTCAGGGTGTTAGATTGATTCTTAGTCCCAAGCATTGCTTCGTTTCTTTGGGTTCGCCATGCAGGCCCCAATGCCCTGGCTTACTGCAGTATTCGTGTTTAAAGCCTTTGGTCACAGAGCGTGACGGAACCTTAAACTGGAACCCAGAACATGTAATCTAAGCGCTGAAGCCTCAAGTTCCAACCTGTGACTGAGAACCTCATACGCCTGGAACCCTCAACTCAACATCATGAAAACAGATCCGGCGGCTCGAGGCGGTGGAGAAGGCTCGAAGATTTCAGGAGCCGGACGAGCTTCAAAAGCCTGGCAACTGAGCGGTTTAGAACCACCCCTCTCTTTCGAATAGGGACTTCCTCACTTAGGGCTTAGGCTTTGGAGCTTCATCATTCAAGGTTGGGGTTCAGGGTTTGAAGGGTTAGTAGGATGTGGTAAACCAACCTTAATAAGGTTTGTACTATTGGCGAGGTGGCTCGTACAACTTTAACTTATCACCCGTGTGACAAAGAGCGCTGAGGGTCACTGGCTTTTGGGATGCTCATGGAACCTGAAAGATGGGCTAGACGTTGATAGCTTCAGGAGCTACAGTTCACATAGGATTCCGGTTTGCAATGTCTAGTCCATTGCACTTTCTGCGAAATATGTGCATGCCAGCCTGGCCTCAAGGCCACACTGAGTAAGGTAACGATATATGCAGAAAATCATGTTGCGTGATGCGGGCGCTGAAAGGAATCTGCGAGCGGAGAAACTGTAACAGAAGCAACTACATGTTTACAGCCACAGTATCGTTATGATAAGCAGCATGAATACCAACAAAGATCGTAGTAGCAACCATCCGAGTAAGCCAGGCAAGTCTAGATGTGTGTAGACCATAGTTCCAGCGGATACCCACATTGAAGCTTTGCCTTATCGCTCGGCGAGAGCTAGACTGAACATGCCTGAACCAAAAGGATACCAGCCTCCAGTACAAACTACACTATGGGCCATTATCGAAATAGATGATCAGAAAACACCTCGTCCATCTTTGTTGTCGGCCTATGAGCCCCAAGTAGCTTAAACTGCAAAGGGCGTACTACTTCAGGATAACAAGTTGCTGTAAGAATTGCCGAAACCTGGACTTTCAGTTTCAAGACTAAGCAGACGACCGAGCCTCAGAGCACGAACCACCTGAGGTCACAAAACAGAAGCAAAGGATTCGCGAGATCACATGGCTCTGTCGAGGCCGAGCACAGGGTTTGGAGGGGATGGGAGGTACCTGAAGGGGGATCGTATGACAGCGACAGCTGCAAAGGTCACACGTATTTCTTTAGGTTTGAAGCTTCCCAGTGGCGAGCAGGCATTTGATGGGAGCAAGTGCATTGTGGCCTCAGGACCTTGCCTTGTTTAATTCTGGAAAAGACGGTCAGACCCCAGACCAAACCAAAGGAATCACACAATGATGGTATTGCGCCGAGACAATTTGGTTTCAACCCAGTCGAGCCCCAGAGTCTGAGCTCCACATGGGCATTCCGCTATGCCCAATTCTGACTACGTACAAAAAACAGGTAGTTGGGCAAGAGGATCGTAACATTAGCTGGCTGGGAAAATGCAAGTGATGTGCATGAACTATCGCAACTCTTTGGCAGCTAGCCTCTGAAAACAAAACAGAACATTTTCCAGCCAGGCCCAAGTCCCTAAGCCCGGAAACTTAAACCGACAATGGGGGCAACAAAGTTTGAGCTCCGCACCTTGACGATCTTCAGCTCTTTGAGAGCTTCGGTGTTTGTCAGGAGACCTTTCTCGCACTGTTCTACTATTACTAAGGGCGACGAGAGCAACACTGACAGCAGAAAAAACGATGGTGACAATACAAGTAATAGCAATTCTAATGTTTTCTGTGCCATAGCACCCCCAGGTCCATACTTCCTGGAATTGTCCATCCTCAGAATGTATGACCTTCTTGTTCCCTCGAGCTGCCTATGACGTCAAATGGGATGATGGTCAGCAAGTCAAAGGAAAACCTTCGGCTGAGTTGGAGTCGCTGCAAGAGAAAAGATTTTGTGCGCATACAGGGCCCTCTATAACAAAGAACAAGAAAAACATGAACCCATCACGCTAGAAACCACGTCCGCAAGTACTGGGTGGCAATCTTCTGCAGGCTCACCTGTCCGATGCTCAAGAAATTACAACAGCCCTAGAAAGATTTCAGGTTTGAGGTTTGGGAAGCTGGAGTGTAGAGTCTAGGTTCTTAAGCTGGCTCTAGGGGGCCACCTGCCAGGCTGGGGTTGCTCCGAAACCGTGAAAACCCCTCCTGAAAGCTTAGGGTCCGTTATGGGGCCTGGAGGCCCGGAGGCACCCAGAGGCCACCAGAGGCCTCGCCTGCGGCGAGCCGTTTGTTTGAAGTTTCATTCCAAAGTTGAGAGAGAGAGATAGATAGATAGATAGATAGATATATATACATATATATATATATGGGCTATATGGGGAATATGCAGGGGAATGGAAAAGAAGATGGAAATTACTAAGGCTTGAGGCTTCAGGGTTGACAGAATGGAAAAGAAAATGAAAACTACTAGAGGTCCTCGTAGTAACACCTCCCCATGGTAACGTTATCTTTTCGGTGATTTTTTCTTATCAGGGGGGTGGTGGGGGCGGCTTATTATACGAGTCAGGGGAGGCAGCAAAGGGTTTAGAGATAACGGAAAGGTGAGGTACCAAGCTGGGGGTCCCCGTTGAAGCGATCATAATATATTGAACGACCAATTTCATGAATACTATTGAAATTGAATTAACATCCATGTAAAAAGCCTTGAAATCTAATCAAAATTCTATTAAGAACCAATTGACATCGAATTAAAATCAATTCAAGATCACTTGAAATTTATTTAAGATTCTATTAGATCGAATTAAAGTCCATTTTGAACCAATTGAAATTTAATGAAAACTCTTTTCAATATCAATTGAAATCGAATTAGAATCCATGTAAGACCAATTGAAATCTAAATAAGGTTCTATTAGAAACCAATTGAAATCGAGGTAAAAGCCATTTAGAATCAATTGAAATTTAACAAAAATTCTATTAAAAACCAATTGAAATCGAAGTAAAAGCCATTAGAACCAACTGAAATCTAATTGAAATTCCTTTTAAATATCAGTTGAAACATCGAATTCAAATCCACTTACAATCAATTAAAACTTCATTAAAAATCTATCAAAAACCAATTGAAATCGAATAAAACCCCGTTAACATGATTGATATCTAATTTAAATTCCTTTTCTGTCAATTGAAACCTATTTTAAAAATTGAAATCTACTTTCAATCCTTTCAAAATCTATTGAAATCGAATTAAAATCCAATAGAAATCCATTGAAATTTACTTAAAACTCCATCAACAATCAGTTGAAATGGAATCAAATTCAAGTTAAAATCAAATACAGCCTAATTATAGTCCATTTAAAACCAATTGAAATCTAGTTAAATACGGCTAAAATGGTAATAACATGAAGGAAAAATCGCATTCAGTTCCTTTGTATAAAATCCTTCATTAAAACCATATGAAAAAACAGTCAATTCCTAGGAAATGAAGGGGATCCCTAATTCCTTTGTATTTCTTCTTATACCCCCTAATGACCTCAAAATCCATCCGAATTCATTATTAGGTGGCCCCTTTGGAAGGTAGTCTTCTCCTTTTAAACTTCTGGATTTCTAGGCCCCTGAATTTGTTATTTTAATATAAAGGTTAGCTTCAATATTAGGGGAAGGGAATTAACAGCAGGTGTAACCCCTAGCAATGCTTGGCATTACTGGAATGGCGCGAAGAAGACCAATAGTAAAACCAGAATGCAAAAAGTACAAAAGCTAGACACACAAAAGCCTGACGTGAAGGACCCCGGGCCTCCCAGACAACTCCACTGGGAGTAGTCCGTGAATAGGTTGTAAAGAACCTCGCAACATGAGCACTTAGATTTTTGTTTGGCGGAGAGGAGGGACCTCATCACTGGGCTTTTGCACTACGATTAATGAACCACATCCCAAGTACCCTGCTCGGAGAGTTGCAGGCAGAGCCCTTCATTTTCTGTTGTTAAAATGCGCTCGCATTCTGACTGCAGCACGGAAGCAGAAAAACAGCCAACAAGATTCCAAACACCACCTCATACACAGACAGGGAAACCAAAACCCAAAACCCCGCAACGATCGCAAAGCGCATACGGTCAAGCAGTGAGGAACTGAAGCACCATGTCCACGACGAAAACCAAGTCCATGCCTGAGCGGAACGATTCGCAGAACTTTGGCTAGTCATATTGGCACAGTCAGTTGAAACTTCGGGCTGCAGTTACCACGAGCATGCCTGAAAGTCACTAAGCTAGGTCAGCAATCGCACGGGCCAGTTCCTTCATTTCCCTTGTGAGCATCCACAAGATGTTCATGCAGAACCCGCAGTTGCACCCGGTTCTCATCACTATATAGATATTCCTGATAATGACCACATCGACCATCAGCATGGCAACTTATGAGGTCTTGCTAGTGATGATACGGGCAAAACTAATGCATGTACTCTGCACTGCATCAGATTCTTTGTCTGTTGGATGACTTGTCCAATTCTAGACCTGCACCTTTACACAACTTCAAGAA